ACGTGTTTTTTAGTCCTCTTGTTTTAACATGTTTTACCATGGAATCGCCGATAATTAAATTTCTTTGCTTTCCTAATGATTTGTTTTCATCTCTAGAGTGGCAGACATATGTCGCATTGTGATTGACTTTTTCTACATTGTCATTCAAAACTTTGTATCAGTTGCTGGTAGGTAAAGATATACTCAAGTGATCACTGTCATTTTCATCAGTAGTTAAACTGTTCATGATTTCATTGAGTTCAGCAGGCTTGGTGCAAATGTTTTCTTTTTGTACGTTTGGTATCTCATTTTCACATGATGAATTTTCATTATTTACTTCTAGCAGAAGGAAACTAAAGAGTAAATTCCAGGCTGGTGATCCTACTTTTAAGTTCATTTAGTTCATCTGATGATTGAGTTTGAGTTGACACAACATTTGTTAAAGGTTTTCCTCTAGGTTGAGTTGCCATAGTGGGAGTAGATGCCATTAATTCATCTTCCTAGAAGCCATAAAAACTACTAGACTCGTCCATAATAGAGTTAGACATTTGGTATGCTTAGGTTTGCCATATCTAGGCCGTCAAGACAAATATAAAAGCTAAAAACTTTGCTAAAAACTTTAGTAAAGCTGGTGTGATGACTCACTTGATAACTTGTTGAGACAAAGAGCAGGGCTTAGCTTATCTAGCCCTAATTAAAAAATAACAATGAAGCTTTCCAGGAGCTTATGGCTTGTTTATCTCCCGGAGTTGATTTCCAGGTTTGAGCTCACTTTAGCCTAGGAATAGACTAAAAATGTTACCTTAAAAACACTTTGTTTAGCATGGAAACCAGTCCAAAAGTTGATGAAACAGCATCCTTGCGCAATCAGCAAATAGTTGATAGTAAAATCATAGGTGAATGTCAATAATTATGGGTGAAAAATATAACTTCTACCTTCCAGAAGGCTACACACATCATGCGGAACACACATCTCATAGCTATGATTTTATAGATCATTATGGCTGATCGGACATTGTGACGTCATCATATTGCCATCTGAATTAAAAATAACTGAATTTTTATTCAAAACGTCATTATTTTGATTATTAGCTCAGACAATTGTCTTTCGGAATTGTCCCTTTATTTTTCATTTTGATCTCGTCATCATGGTCAAAAAGAATGTATTTTTGAAGCCCTTTTATCTCTCTTTCTTAAAAGATGTATAAAATATCACCACAGAGGGCGGCAGACAGTATTTCAACGCTATCAGACGAATATAATAGGTTATATGAAGGGAAAATTCGTGTGACATTACCAACTAACAGGCAGTTTTAAAAACTCTTGACAATGTTTAATTTCGTGTTCCATAACTGTCCACGCACGCATCGTGACGTGCGCGTGCGTTAAAATTAGAAAATTCTCAATATCACATTTCAGATAATTTAAAGCACGTTTCAGGTCATTTTCAGCATTCCAAAACTTTCCATAATTTAAGCCTGTACGTTCATTTCCACGCGCACAGCACGTAATGATGCTGAAAATTACGTTTTTTTTAAACATATTTTGGGTTCCTGACACTGTATTCATATCAGGAGTCAACTGTTTGTGCCATTGCCGTGCTCACGGGCGTCAAAACGTGTATGTACGCATGCGTAAATCATTTAAAATGCTCAAAATTACTCTTTTTTAACAACTAATTACAGCATATTTTAACATATAACATTTTTCAATCAGCACCGCGCACGCTTCCTGAGGGTCAAAGTACGGCCGATCACCAAACTCGTACTCAGTGACGAATTCAAATCTAGTTTTTAACTTTATCATGTGCAAATGCCTCCAAACTTGTAAAAGTATCAGATAGCTCATCACAGTTATCATCATCATAATCATATGTGTTATCATAGTTAGGATCTACTTGTGAGTTATTAACATAATTAACATGTTTCTTTATTCTACAACATTGAGCAAAATGTCTCATGCAATTACAATATTTACATCTTTGTCCATATGTAGGGCACTGTCAAGGCATATGCTCTCTTCCGCATCTTTGGCATTTAAACGCTCTGTTTTGTTTTCCTCTATAGCTCATTCGGTGTGAACCACGCGGTTGATAATAACGTTGTTGACCATACATATGCGGTCACTGCCTTTGATGTGCACTCTGACGCATCCTTGCTCTGCCTCGGCTCGCAGTTGATGCTGCGTGTTCGTCAATAACACGCGCCTCGTCGCGTTGACTATTATTAGTGCTACACATTTTTTGCGTTTCTTTAGCTTGTTCGAATGCCATACATTTACAAGTAAGGTCGTCGTCCCACAGTCTTTCTCTTAGTTTCTTGTCCCTTACACTGTTCGATATCTGTATCGCTACTTGTCTATTCTCCAGTTCTCCAAACTCGCATTATCTCGCCAGCTTACGGACTGCGGTAATATATTCAGCTAATGGCTCACTTGGCCCTTGAATTCTTGTTTGAAAATTCGTAACATACTTCTTTAAGAGCTTCTTTGGTTCGAAATATTCATCGAATTTGGCCAATACATTTTCTAGGCTCTGATTATTTTGCTTGTCTTCAAAATTAAAATTGTTAAATACCTTAATGTATTCTTTTCCCATCGTGCAAAGTAACATTGGTACTTTCTTTGAGCTGTTTGCTGTGTGCTTATTTTTGGCGGTCAAGTAGAGGTTAAAAAGTTTCCACTCAGCCAACGAAGCTGCTGTATTTTCACTAGGATTAACTCCATTTTGTTGATTTTAAACTTCTGACACCATGTTATGTCTTGCTATATTTGTTAATCTCAACTCGTGAGACACAGGTAATTCAGACGACGGCCATTATTAACTACAACAGAACTGCATTTATTCAGATGTAGAGGGTGCTATAACACAATACATAACATTAGTGACAGTTAATTTAGGCTTATTTACATCATGTTTGCCTAACAGATCCTTAATTTCTTTATATGTCTTTGATGATGGTTTATCAGGGCTGACAAGGTCTCGGACTATTCCATAATGTTTCTTGCCTATTGAGTGTAGAAAAATTGCTGTTACCTGTGGCTTGAACAGATCTTCTGCCTTGAAACCATTCGCTAACAAACGCAACTCAAATCTTTCCACATAACATTCCCACAGTTCTGATTCATCATATTTGGAGCTGAAGGGTGGTAAAAATTGGTGATTAACTGCAGTGCTGACAGCCATCCTTATCGCCATTTGTTATATTCTATTTTCGTTGGTACAGTTCGTATACTCAATCAACACTACAAAAACGACTACCACAAGCCATATTGGTTTCTACACTGATGTCTTTATTGCAAAGCCACGTGCTTCGCGCTTCAGCCTCATCACAATACGCCACAGTTCTCACCCTCCAAGACACAAAAATCTACCTAGTTGTAAACGATAGAAGAGCAGCTAAAATTCTACAAGAAGATTTGGTCAGGGCTTGGAAGTGGGCAAAAACATGGCAACTACCCTTCAATAAAGAAAAATACAAAATTATACATTAAGGTCGTCGTAATCAGCAGTTTAAATACAGCATGAGAGATCCTAATGATCAAATAGATATTAATGTTGTCAAAGAAGAAAGAGACCTGGGAGTACTTTTCGATACTTCACTGACATTCACCAAACACAAACAGCTGATGTTGCAAGAAAAAGCAAATGTGAAGCTGGGAATAATTAAGAGAACATTTACATCCTTGGATGAGTTCAGCCTACCTCAACTATATAAAAGTATAGTCTGCCCATCTCTTGAATATTGCAATTCAGTTTGGAGTGCCATATTTAAAAAAAGACGAAGATATGTTAGCAAAGGTGCAACAGAGGGCTACTAAAATTATACCAACTATACTTAACCTTGAATATCCGGAAAGATTGAAAAACCTAAAACTACCAACACTATCGTTAAGAAGACAACGTGCCGACATGATCCAAATCTTTAAAATGGTGCAAGCATTGATAATGTTGGTGTAAAAAGTTCTTTCATATGAGTGAAGTAAAGTCTACAAGAGGACACCAGTTCAAGATCCACAAACCACATGTAAAGTCAAAATCAAGACAGAATTGATATATTTAAATTTTATATATTTTACCAGCCTGTTAGTGGCGATGATTCGCTGTTGGTCTGTTAAAATGAAATAAATAAATGTTTTCTCCGTCGGAAGTATTAACTGTTGGAACTCGCTGCCTATTCATGTAATTGATTCCCAAACTGTAAACCAATTCAAATCTCAGTAAAAAACACTGGTCTGGTCACAACCCATATGTACCCAAGGAGATGTTTAACAAGTCAAAAGAGGGGCACAAAAGCTTTAAAGCTTTAAGTCTCGAAATCCAGGTAGATTTAGGTAGGTAGGTAGATCCGATGAGCTGTACGAGACAATTTACAGGCTGCACCAACGTGTCACGTTTCACCAAAGTAGCCAACACTGATGAGAGCGATTTCTACCTGTTGCACTCTTATACAAAAGTATGAAGAGCCATATCGGTGCATAATAAATCATTATACTATGGAAAGCCAACATGGCAAAATACTCGTAACACACAGGGTCATCTGGAACCAAGATACTCACAGGTACTCTAGACTGCTGTCACTAATCTAACCTATCCTGTAGGAAGAAACAAAAAAAACAAAAAAATAAAGAGACTGAAAAAAATGTGTTTTAACTATAATTTCTGGGGTTTCTTTTGCAAATTTCATATTGATAGTTTTGTTTTTGTTCAACGTCATCTTCATAATTTAAGATTTATTTATGGTCCATAAAATGGGATTTCATTCTGAAGGAAGGTGTTTGGTTTTTGGTATGAAGAGTTTAATTGATTGAATAATTAATTGATTTCTTGATTGATTTACTGTATTATAATGACAATGAAAGGAGAATGTTTGTAAATAAACTATCTATAATTTATTGGAATTTTTATGTTATTGTTATTGCTACCTTTATATTTTTTCGCCGTAGATAATTTTCTTTGAAAAATACCAAAATTATTATGTTTATTAGTACGCTAACAATGATCATTGTTCTTAATTTATTAGGATTTAATGACAGCTGCATGTGGATTGAATACATCTGCCATAACCACTGGTAGAAACACTTCACGTCAAGTTGCCACGATATCAGATCAAAAAGCACTTACATCCCCTAGTTTTGCTGTCACTCAGGCACTTGTTGGCCTACTTGCAGAAACTAAATCATTACCTCTCAAATCACAAGGTAATAAAGTAGTTTTGTTATGTGTACTTTACAAAATTTGTTTTTTGTTTGAAGATCTTCCTAGATCCTGTACCATTTGTTTTCCATTAAATTGGATTTTGAATTTTTTTTTCTCGTTTTACAGTGAGTTAATGTGCACAGTTGAGACTATGCTGCTGTGAGTTATGGGGTTATTATCCTAAGCCCTGTCCAGACTACCAAATTTCATACATGACTATATATGAAAATATTAAACAGTTTTTATCAAAGAAAATTTAATAATCTGGGCATAGCTTAACATTACATGTTTGATGCATAATTGATAGTAAATTATTTAATTTTGATGAGTAAACTTTTTATATATTTTTTAAAATTTTTATTTTCAGGGGAAAAACCAGAAATGTGCAATAAAGATAACTTAAAACTAGGCCCTCTACATCTAACCAATGCTTTAGCTGCCTGTTGCCTGTCAGCTAGGCTAGCCTCCCAGTATAAGCAGTGGGCAGCAGAGCAGCTTGTCAAGAGCCTAGCTGTACAGTCAAAAAGAATATACACAGGTGGAGAAATGCTTGTTGACATCCCAAGTAGCCTTCCTGCATGTCCAGTCAGCAAGCTTGATGCGCATCAAAACGTCACAAAATGTGTTTGGAATGAAAAAAAGAGCCTCCTAGCAACAAGGTAATGTGTTTATGACTAAAACTCTGTCCAGACTATCAAATTTTGATAAATATTTGTAGTCATGGTTTGCCTATATCTGGTCATGATGTGATGTCATCATGACCATCTTTAGGCAATTCACATTATTTTGTCAAATAAAATTTGCTAGTCTGGACAGGGCATCAGTTAGGTATTTTTTTTTTTTAAGGGGACAGGGGTGAAGGGTTTATTAATGTATCTTTTGTACATGGGCCACAATGCACACAGGACCAACAGCTTATAGCCCAATCAAACTTATTAGGCCGGCCCAGGGTCGCCTTAAATTACGGCCGACTCAACTTCATATCCGTTCACAATTATTGTTTTAAGTCGGCCCAGGGCCGCCTTACGGACGTTCACACTTCTTTTGGGCCGGGTCGATGAATTGCAGGACAGGAAGTTGAGGCGATCGCATTTTGATGGCGGAACGGTAAATCACAACCTAGCATAAACACATGGAATTCGCGGGAAACATGAACCTAATTTCAAAAATTGTCCTTATACTTTTTCGATTTTTTAAGCGGATAGCATTCTGCTTCATGATTATGGCGACGATAATTCTTGTAATAACCAAGGTCTATAATTAGCGCAGCTCGATTTTACTCTGTGCAAAGCAAGACTGGCGATTTCGAAAGTCCATACCTGTATATTGTAAACTGTCTATATAGGCCTATATCGCTGTCAATGTTTGGCCACAGACCGGAGACACTGATTGTGAATAAGTAGCATCGAGATCTATCTATTTGGTAATAATAATTATTTTCATATTAGGTTCATTCACAAACAATTTTTGACGCTTTTTAGAACCAGCTTCGCTCAGAACAAAAATAAACGATTATGTTTTTTTCTGTCCTCGGGGTCACGCACGTGGTTGATACCGCTATATATATAGTGTTATAATTTTAGAATATAAACTTGTTAAATCAATGTGTGCTATACAAAAACGGGGTTTCTTGAGCTTTTAATAGGCCAATATAATTTTTATCTACTGGAATTCTTTAACTGTAGAAAAGAAAGTCGTCATCTGTCAAACTGCCCATGCGTAGGCTTTGTATCACGTGGTATTCCCCATGCCTACAACTTGGTTTGTGATGAGCTTCGCACGGAGGCTGTGAGTAATAATTAGTTAGGCATGGAGACCTTATATAAAAACTTTTATTAAAAAACAATAATTCAACTTAATACAAATTACTTTACAGTTTCCTTAACAATTTTATTTATCAATGATGTTTCTTCGCGCAAGTCAGTTCGAATGAATGTTGTGGTTAGATAAGATGTCAAAATCGAGCAATCAGAGCGAACCTGGGCCGGCTGAGGTTCGGCTTACATTCAGATATAAGGTTGGGTCGGCCCTGGGCCCGCATTGCGGGACCTGAGCCGACTCAAAAGTCGGATTAACATTAGGTCGTCTCAGGGCCGGCTTAACATTTATTGATTATTCACACTTAAAAATTGCCGACCCTGAGGCGGCCCTGGGCCGACGTAACTCTCAAGTGTGATTGGGTTTTTAAACGTCTCATCCGATCAAGGACTTTTAAACTGTTACCAGGATAGGAAGCTGGCTGGTTTAAGCCATCTAACTTGAATTAGCCTTATGTGTGGTATTGTTATGCTAATGAGGCAGATAAGCACAATCTGCACAAAAACAAAACTTTCCTTAGCCACACTGCGTATCGGCTATGCGTACAGCAGCTAGGCCTAGCTTATCTTATTTTTGTTTGTTACGCACCACTGACTTAGGTTGTTAGTCATCACTTTAAGATGTCTACCGATTCATGGAAAAGGCGTATTAAAATAAAAAATATTGCAGTTTGTCAGCAATACATTTTAATTTTATATAGGTAAGTAGTAAGTATATGAATAATTTTAATGCACTAGTTAGTTGATAAATTCATTCTAATTTGTTTTGGGTCTTTTTTCTGCATTATTATAAGTGGTTAGACATGGCCTAGGCTAGCCTATGTGATGTTCATTGTAATACTACAAAACAAAATCACACCAATTTAAAATCAAATTTGTAAACATACTTGCCTTATATCTTAACT